CACTTGATTCAGCTCCGGGGGTACCATGTGCAAATTTTTTTAATAAGCTTTTTTTAACTAATGTATTTACTTTGGGCTGTGCTGGTTCTTCATTGCTGCACAGGCTTTTTCTCTAGTTGCAGTGAGTGAGAGCTAGTTTCGAGATGTGGTGCATGAGCTTCTCATTGCAGTGGCTTCTTTTGTTAGGAAACACAGGCTCCTGAGCCTGTGGGCTTCAGCAGTTCTGGCATGTGGGCTCAGCAGTTGTGGCTCCCAGGTTCTAGAGCACAGGCTCAGTAGTTGTGGCACATGGGCATAGTCACCCCTCAGCATGTGGGATCTTCCCAGATCAGGGATTGAACCCACGTCTCCTGCATTGGCAGGTGGATTCTTTACCACTGAGCCACCAAGGAAGCCCACTGTGTGTTAATCTATGTGACATCCCGAACAGCCTGGGACTCCTGCTGCCCCACGCCATGTAGCACAGTGGGAGCTTCATAGCCTGCACAGTAGGGCCCTTCTGGTCCCAGCCCAGCTCATCTGCCTCTGTTTCTATGGCTACAGCATACTTCCTCCATGTGTCTTGTACAAGAAAAACGCAGGGTTAAAGGAGTGAAGGAACAGCATTTATAGATCAGCTTTATAAAAGCAGATACAACTCAAGGGTTTCCTTCACAGATGAGGAAACTGAAGCCTAAAGTGGGGATAGACTTGCCGAAAGGCCATGACATGGGAAAACAGGAAAGAGAAAAAAGCCCCCAGAAGTCACACTGAGCAGTTTCCACCTCTCTTGAGATGACCCAGGTCATTGCTGCTAAAGGCGTGAAGGAGAGCAGGCGGCTGTGCTGGAGAGGAAGCCTGGGACAGGTTGTGGTCCTTGTTCTGCGGCCTTGATTCTGGTCAAAGCCGCTTCCTACGGTAGGGATCACACGGCTTTCAGGACAGGGCTCCCAGTTACTGTATAAGCTGCATCCCCACTGCTTTGGCCCACCCCTCCCTCAGCTGCCCTCAGCCTCAGGAACATCCGTTTGAACTGGTTCCCACAGGGCAGGAGCTGGACTCTGGTTCTTGGAAGAGCTCTGTGAAGACCAGAATCCAGGAGAATCAAAGGGATTCAGGAATTCCTGATCTGCCAAGTCACAACTGCTCCCTCCCGCCGCCCCCCCATCATACTTGGCAGGAGGGGATCTTGGCTGGTAGCCAAACACAGGGAGATTACCCTCCTTGCAGGCATCCCAGCACTTGCTTCTCATTCACCCCTCATGTTTGTCCTCAGGAAAATCTCAGCATATTCGAAGGTCTCCTCAAGTCCCCTCAGCCCCACACTCTTGGCTAGATGCCCAAGCCCACCTAGGGAACCTGGGTGTTTCTGAGGCTGGGAGCTCCTATGGGGGGGCACCGTAGGGGATTCCTCGGTAATTTTTCTTAACCAAGTACTCATCTCTAGTTGTTCTCTCTGGATGCGCCCAACTCAGCAGAGGAAAAAGCCCCAGGCTGGCATCCAGAGAACCGTGCTCTAGTCGCCGCTCTGGTCCGAACTGGGGGCCTAGCTGCGTCTCCGATCCCTCCTGTGAAAAAAGCTGAGGGATTAGATCAGACAATCTCTGTAGCCCTGGGGAGGTTGGAGGGGACGCTCGGAGAGCCAGATGGCCCCTAGTGCCACCAGCGAATGTCCGCGAAGATGCGGGGGCGGGTGGGCTGCAGGGCATCCAGGAAGCGTCTGCAGGGAAACGCGCACCCAGGCACAGGGCCCTGGGACCGGGCGTGGGGGAGGAGGGTGGGGTGCGGGGCGGGGCGCGCCAGAGACGCTTCCCGCTAGGACGAGAGGAAGGGACACCACGCCCGGAACGGAACGCCTCGCGCCCGCCACAGCTGCCTGCGCACCCGGAAAAGACCGTTTGGAGGTGCGGGTTCTCAACCAAGAAAGGCGGACAACTTAACCCCCTCGAATCTGGGAGGACTGAAAAGAAGTGTTCCCCGAAGAAATAGTTTGCAGCTTCCAAAGCGCCTGCAGAAACATTTCGTTATTCGATTTCTCCAATGGGGCGACAGAGGATGAGATGGTTGGATGGCATCACCGACTCAATGGGCATGAGTTTGAGCAAACTCAAGGAGAGAGTGAAGGACATGGAAGCTTGGCGTGCTGCAGTCCATGGGGTCGCAAAGAGTCCCACACGACTTAGAGACCGAACGACAAGAGTTCTCTGACTTGGGCAAGCTCCCAATTGACCGATGAAGAAACTGAGGCTCAGAAAGGTCAGGCAGGAGCCTAACAAATACATACTTGTTAAATGGCTAAAAATGGAGATTATTCTCATTTGAGACTATTAAATCCTCGCTTTCCGAAGCATCCTAAAACAGAAATAAAAGTCTTTGCCTGATTTGGGGGCCAAATTATTCACCTAAATTCTGCTTTAGACATAGGAAGTGAAACACAGCCCGTGGCCAAAACCATATCTGGGTCACCGACCTTTGGATAATCTGAAGGCTTTGGGACCCCTCCCCACCAACTGCAGATAGAATCTCTGCTTAGAACCTCGGAGTTCCCAAGCCCTGGATCCCTGCAGCCATCCCCTGGCCTAGCTCTGGCCCACAGGGCTCCTCTCCAGGGGCCATGAACCAATTTTCTCCTAGTATCCTCCAAAAGAACACGTGGCAGGTGTTCTCAGTTTATTTCAGGTAAAAGGAAGTGGAGGCTGTTCTCAGCCCCAAGGGCTGAGCTCCCACCCAGAGATCAGTCCCCTATGCCTGCTAGCAGCTGCCTCCGCTGATTCCAGTCAAGGACAACTCTGGGGTAGACACTCAAGCCTCGGCGCCGTGGAGACGAAAGTCAGCCCGGGTGTCAGCTGATGGGAAGGTAGGAGACAGAATGTTGCGAAACTGCACAGGCCATTCCCTCTAGCTTCCCTCAGCCCCTACCCTGAGCACGAATTCCGGACCTGTGTCTCCCCTGAGCAGAGAATCCCAAGGCGCCCCCTCCACCCCACCCCTCCGCTCTCCTAGACCCAGCTCACCATCTCTGGGGCTCAGCTCTCTCACTGTGATTGATACTCCAGGCTTCAACATCTCAAGTCAGATTTTTATAAAACCAATTCCTGAAGTTGCTTTTTTAATTAAAAATGTAATACAAGCATGTGATAAACACATAGGCTTCAAATAATCCAGAAGGACATACAGCTGAAAGCCCCCTGCCCTCTGGCCCCCAGTTCTCCTACAGGGAAACCACCCCTATTTGCTAGGTCTTGGGTCTCCCGGCAGAGACTTGCTGCGCATAAAATAAAGGACACCTAGATACCCCTCACTTATATTTTTCCACAAACAGAAACCCATGTGTCCTTTGGGTTTTCCACTTAACATCCAGAATATTTTCCAGGCTATATAACCACTGTATATTTTCCCCCCTCACTTTAAAAAAAAGCTAGACAGATTCCTAAGACAAGATCGCCTTTCATTTTGTTTTTCTCATTCTTTCTCCATCCTCTCATCACTCTCTGCCTCCAGCCCCACACCCCAGCTGGAGCAGAATCTCCGGGGTTCCCTGCCCTTTGAGAACCTTATAGAGATGGCGCACTGCCCGAAGAAAAAACGCAGAGACACACAAACACAATGCTTTTCGAAAAATGTCGGGGGATTAACTGGGTTTCGAACATCCCTGCGCGAGTCGGCGAAGCACATCACATCTAAGATTTTAGAACAAAGGCTAAAATCTTTGTTCTAAAGGGCTGGGCCTGGGCCAAGATCGAAAGACAGCGCTGCGCCCCCCGCCCTCGCCCCAGAGGACTGGAGCCCCCAGCACGAGGCCCTGACAAGCAGTGGGTGATGGTGGCGAGATCTCCCGGGGCGGCACCAGGAGCTTGGGGTGCGTATGCGGGGTGAGGCACCCGGAAGGCATCTCGCAGGCGGGGATGCAGGGTCCGCTACAGTGATAACACGGGGGGTCTGTAATTTGTAGAGATATACGGGTCAAGAAATACCGGCGAGCCTACGCGAGCATTCTTTTCATCCTACGGAGAGGTGAGAGTCACTCGACCCATTTTGCAAACGGGGAAACTGAGGCTCTAGGCAGTGAATCACCGAAAAACGCCCATCTGGTAACTAGAGCGCAGAAGGACTTGAAGCCGGGGCTGGATCTCACTGGGGGATGCTAGTTAGCCACGTCTTGGGGCGGAGAGCCAGGGTCCGTGCCGGGCCACGGCCAGTCGGAGCCAGGACAGTGACAGAACTGTCCCCGTCCGGAAGGGTCTAGGTGGGGTTCGGACGCCTGCCTCCCCCACCCGCGCAAGCCCTGCCTTGTAGAGTGGGAAGAGAGCGCGAGGCCAAGGCGGGATGGATGACCTCTTCGCCCACCATCTTCATCACAACGGGGAACTGCCACGGAGAGGGCGAGCTTGGGGGTTATTAGGGAAGCAGAGTGGAGCAAGGGCCAGGAAAGAACTGAGATGGCAGGGAGACGAAAGTCGAGACTCCGAGAGAAAGGGGCCGTGTCCCGGGTCGGAGCTAAGGGAGCCGAGCCCTTCAGAGTGAAGTAAGCAAAGCAGTCCTTCCTAAAGATTCAGGGGTCCTTCCTGAGCCTGACCCGAGGGTCGAGGAACTCAAAACTACACGTCGCGGATGCCCGGCTTCGGGCTGAGTCGGCTGTTTGCCGCAGAGAGGGTCTCTGTAGCGGGAGAACGCTGCCGCGGGCCGAACAAGACGGGGGAACCTGCTGAGGGAAGGCAAGAAGCAGGAATGGGGTGCGCGGGACAGGGCAACAAAGTGAGGACCTGAGGTCGCCCAGAGCCGAAAGGGATCCGGGGTATCGGGTCCCCAGGGCCCGCCCCCTCACCGTCGGGGTCCAGCTCGGGTTACCGGCCGGGCTTTACTCCTTAAAATATGTATGAGTCCTTGCGGGTGCAGTTTCGCTGCCCCTCCCGGAGCGGGGCTGGGGGCGTCGGGGTGCTCGAAGAGCCACGGGGGGAGAAAGCAACGCTGGCTCCCAAGGCCGGGGCCGTCTCGACTTTCAGCCGCGCGTTTAAGAAAAGATGGAAACTGGATCTGTCTCGGCTGCGCCCCCGCCCCGGCAGCCCCGACGGCAGGACCGCGCGGCCGGGTGGCTCGCTTTGCGCCGCGCGGTGTCCGGTTCTCAACAGCAGGTGAATGGGCCCGGGCGGGGCGCGCCGCGCACTGGGGGCGGGGCGCGCTCTATAAAGGGGGGCGCCGCAGGCCGCGGGGGCCACTCGAAGCCGGTGGGGCCTGCGCTACCTCTTTGCGGTCCCGGGCACACCGTGCGCTTACCACCAGCATCCTACAGTCCTCGGGGACCAGGTAGGGCGCAGATGGCGACTCAGCTAGGGAACCTCAAGACGACCTGGCCGGGTGAGGGAATGCGTGCGGGCTGGGGAGGGCTTAATGTGGAGCCAGTCCCCTTCCCCGCTTTGGCCTGTTGGCCCTGTGCCTTGCTCCCGATCTCCCCAGTCCCGGCTCTGGCTCACTGAAGCCCCATCTCTGGCTGCTTCGAAGCCCGGCGACTCGCCAAGCCAGCCTGCCTGGGATTGGGGGGTCTTGCCTCCTCCTCTGGCAGCGACACCCGGGGCCTGAGCAGGCCCCGCCCAGGAGTCGGACCTATTGATGGGTTGGTAACCTCACCGGCCTTCTCAGCCCCTCCCGGCTCCGCAGGGGCGGGGGTGCGGAGGGCCGTAGACCTCCACCCCATCCCCCCACCACCACTCCCTACGCCCTTCTCTCGAGCCTAGGGCCTGGTGCTATCTTCAATCTTAATACAAGAGACGTTTAGAATTGGTAGGGATTCCGCTAGGCACATCCTTTTGCGCGGGGGCGGGGAGGGGGTCGCTTCTCAACCGCCAGACAGACGGGGTTCGATCAGGAGAACTAGGGGCTAAAACGGAGGAGGACGGATTAACGTTTTATTTTAATCTGGTTTTGTCCTGCGGTTGCCGTCTGCGGCAGCCAGGAGGGGCTGAGGCAGGGAAGGGAGCCCAGAACAGCAAGGGTTGGGGGCGCTCGGTGTTAGGATGCTGGGGGAGGAAGAGGTCACCTCAACGCTGACAGCCTGGGAGTCTCCTAGCCCCTGCCCCGCCCCTCAGAATGCTCCGGGGTGCTACCTGAGCGAAGGACCGCTGAAAAGGATCTAATCCGCGTCCGCGCCCCAGCCTTGGCCTGCCCCGCCCCCTCCTGGGGGAACCATTGCCGCAAAGGGGGCGGGGGGGAAGAAGAGGGGTGGGAACGAGTCTGGGGGCGGCTCCCCTCCCCCTCCCCCTTCTGGGACAGGCAGCCTTTGTTCGCGGCGGCGGCAGTGGCCAGACACCTGTGGGGCTGCGGAGCTGCCCGAGTGTAGGTGGGTGAAGACGTGGCGTAAGCCCCTCGTACCCACTTCAGCCCTGCGCTCCCGGCTGGTCCGCTGAGACAAGTCAGGCTTGCGCACCTTTCTGCGGGGGAGACTGCGGAGATCCGTCCAGTGGCCCCACAGTGCGTCTCAGCTCCAAACGCACTTCCCTTCCCCCAGTCCAGGATCGGATTTCCAGGCTTGCTACCCTACGCACACCTCGGCCATCCCCCGGCTCTGAGGGCGATGGGGTAGCCGGGCGTTGGGGCGCACCTCGGCCAGCTGCACCTTGGCCTGAAGGCAGGAGGCAAGGAGCGAGGGAGGGCGGCGAGACCCCTTGGGTCCAGAGCCGGCCGAGCTGGGCGAGCTGGCGGGGCTCCCAGCGTCTCCGCAGTCCCGGTCGGGCGTGCCCTGCGCTGTGCACCAACCGGAGCCACATTCAAGGTGAATCATCCCCGGCCCGCCCCCTGCCCCTCCCCCGCCTCTCGGCACCTGAGCCAATGGCGTGGCGCAGGGGGCGGGCGGGGCTCAGGGGGCCGTGAACCTCCCAGAGTCATTATCCCTGCGCTCGGTGTAGCCCCTGCACCTCTGCGCTGGAGCCCGTGAGCCTCTCAGGCCGCGCCGTCCAGGGCACCCTGCGCACGGTTTTCCCGGGCTTCGGGGCCCCCTTGCCGCTCCTACCCTACCCCGCCAGCCGCGCGGAGGCTACTCCTCCTCAGGTGGCCCGGCCGGGGCCTTCCCCCCGCAGACCTGTCACCCGACACCCAGGAAGCGCGCGGCCCCATCCCGGCTCCTCTTTGTTCCCCCGCCGGGCTCCGCGCTCGGGCGCCGCCTCCCCCAGCGTCGCGCTCTGGAGGTTCGGGGCGCCGCCTTCGGGGCGGCCCGGGAGCTCCTTGGGTACCGTCCATCGGCCCGCTCCGAACCAGGGTGTCCTTTTTGCCTTGTTTCTCCGGTGTGGACTCCTCTCCGAGCAAGGAGGCGGCGGCGAGCCCAGCCCGGAGCCGGCTCAGGTGAGTGTCCGGGGCGGGGCCAGATGGGGCCAGCGGCGGGCCGGGAAGGGAAGGTGGACTCGGGCGCCCCGGGGCGAGCGGTGCTAGATGCGAGTTGCGGGCAGGCGACCGCGCAGGTCGGCCTTCGGGAATGACGCGGCAGTGCGGCCTCCTGGCTCTCCCGCGCCTTCCAACGGAGTCTTCCCACGAAGCCCCGTGGTCCTGGGCTCCCCCAGCGGACCCTGCCGTGAGCCCAGGGCTGTGCCCCGGAGTCGGGGCGGCAGCGCGGCTTGAGTAAGGCTGGGGTTTAGCGAGATGCTTATCCTCGGTGGCCCACACACCTTCCCTGGGGGAATCGAGCGAGGGGTCGCGTCGGCGTTTCGCCGCCCTGGTGGGCTCGGGTGGAAGCGCAAGGCTGGGAGGGAGGGCTGCCAACAGGCGCCGGGAGGGAGTTCCTGCCCTGAGAGCTGGTTTCTTCAGCCGCTTCTCTGGGCATCACTACGAGTCGTTGCTGCTTTTGTGGCCCCGGGGCGGCCCCGCCCAGTCTTAGGGGGCAATCCGTTCTCTGACCTCTGGCTCCCTTCTGCGTCGTTGCCACCCATCCTGGGAGCCTCGGAGCACGCGGCTGAGACGCTCTTCCCCCTCGCCCCTTCTCCCATCCCTGTTTGCGTTAGCCAGCCACCGAGGCCCCTGAGCTCTGCCCTGGGTGGGCGGCTGGACGGCGCGTCTCCTGGCCTCACCGGCAGCGCATCCTAGGAATTGGGCTGGGAGGGTGCCGCCCCGGAGTCAGGGATCGTCCCCATTCCGTGGCCCCCTCCAGGCCGAGCCATTCACTTTCCCTTCCCCCAGTCCTGGCATCCCTACACTGTATAGACGTACCCGCCAGGGGCTGGGAGTGCTAATACTGGCTCAGGGCGATTAGGAAACTGGAAGCCGGCGGTGCCCTAATCAACCTCCCCACCCCCACCATCACTCCCATCAGTTAGGTGAGGACCGAGCCTCTCTCTATTCTGCCCGGCTTCGCAAAGCTCTTGAGGATTAAAAGCCTGATTTCCTCCTGGGGGCCAGGTGGTGTTTGTCTGCGTTATGCCCCTGGTTCTCTGGCTGGGTCACTGGGCTCACTCAACCGGGTGTGCACCACCCTCTGCCCTGCCCACAGTGGGCCCAACGGGCACAGAGTGGGCAGTTCTTCCAGCCGAGAAAGAAATCTATCCTGACTAGGGGCCGAGTGCACCCAAAGGAAGGCGGAGGCCCCACGCCCAGCTCTCAGCCACAACTGGCCAGCGAATTCCCCTTGAGGTTGGTTCTTGGTTCAAATCCTGGCTGCTGAACCGCAGCCCCCGCTGGGGTCTCTTTATTGCTCAGGACCTCCCTTCCAACACTGGAGGCCCTGGCCCTGGCTACTGGGAGTGAATGGGGAACCTCTGGAGTCGGTCTTAAGTAAAAAAAGAAAAAATTCTGGGGTACCAGTCTCACTTGTGAGAATTTCGTTTATGCCTTTTTCCTGTGCGAACCGGGTTAATGCAGCCCGGGAGTTCACACAGCTTCTGCCTCTGTGTTAATGGTGGGTGCTCTGGCATCCAGGGCAGCGACGGAAGCAGCTTTGGCCCCTCCCCTAGGACTCCAGGGAGAAACAACGGCAGGTACCGTGCCCTGGGCATGTCCGAGAGCCCCAACCGCCCCTTGGACCTAGGGGACATTCGTCCCATCCCTGCCGGAAGAGGAGGGCACTGCTGGGATCCAGGAGTCCAGAATCGTGTAGAAATGGAGAGCCTCTGGGCTTCCGGATGGTCAAATATTGGGATCCGGAAGGGTTCAACCTCTTAACCTCTCAAAAGCCCACAGCACTGGAGGAGGACAGGGGCCCGGCTCTGTGTCTCAAGGCACCTGCACCGGGGGAGGGAAACAGACCAAAGTGTCCAGACTGCCCTAGCACAGTGCAGGATGGTGGAGCTGCGGCCCCCGAGGAAGGGTTTGTCCGTAGAGACCTTGTAGGGTGTGTAAGATACATGAGACCCTCAAGTATTTGGAGCACTTTGGTGGCACTACGGGCAGGACAGGCCTACCCACTTGGCCTGCATTTCAGACCTGCACCAGTTCTGGGGGCTTCTTTCTTTGCCAGGAGCTCACTCACGGCCAAGGTGGGAGATGGGGACCAGCCTCCTTGGGGACTTTATCTTCATCTTCCCACTCCCCAGGTGGATTTCCATGCCTTTGGATTTCAAAGTCGGGGCTGGGTCCCCTACCCCAACCCTGTCCGCCCAGGGAAGGTAGAGGGAGGTTACTTGAGGACTCCTCTTAAACCACAGGCCTCGGTTTTCCCTCTTGAACCTTTTAAATGAGGTTTTTGTTGGTTACTACCCTCCCAGCGCCCCTGTCCGCCATTTCCGCAGAGCAGGCAGACCCTGCTTTCCCAGGGCCCCGGCCTGAGCTCCCCGGAGTTGAAACTGGAGACATGCCGCAGGGCCCTGGCGCTTGACCCCAGCTGGGGTGGCAGTCGCAGCCCCACCCCAGCACTGCGGCACCAGGGCCTGCCGCATTCCCGTTAGCCAGGCTGAGGCGGGCGCAGGGGAGGGGCCGCGCCCAGCTCTGCACTAAGTAAGGGAGGCTGGAAGGGGATTTGGCCTTGTTAGCTGCTCTCTGCATTCTCTCCCTAAGCAGTTGCAAAGGTGAGAAGAGAGACTGTCTCCGCAGAGATGCCCCATTAGTCAGGAGAGCACCTAGGAACCCAGTGACTCTGCGCTCTTACCTATGGTCACTTGTATTTTCAGGGCTGGGCAGAGCGGAATCCATAGCTACAGTCCTCTCCTCAGACCCCAGCCTGCTCCTTGGGTGCCTGGGGCCAGGCTAGTGCCCAGTGTTGCTCCCCAAAGACAAGAAGGAAAAGGGAATTCAGGGTTCTATTTAAGGACGCCGAGTAAGGCTTCTCCTCGCTTGGAGGAGAGGCTTTGGGAAAGAGATCCCAGACATTTCTCTGGGAGGATCTCCATCCCCTGCCGTGGAGGGGCCTGGGTTCCTATTAGCATGCAGATTTGTGGGTGTGCCCATTCATCTACATCTCAACAGCCCCTTGAGTGAGCCTGCTGGTTACACCGGGAGAGCCCTTGAAAACTACCTCCCATAGAGCCACTGTCTAGGCTAACAAGGCTCCCAACAACTCCCCTCCCCCACCTCCACCATCATCTCTTCTTTCCTTCTTCAGGGTTCAGAGTTGTATGGGGGAAACTGAGGCAGACTGCCAGAGAGTGACTTCCAGAAACCTCCTTCCCACCAGGCTGGCTTGGTTCTGGAAGACCAGAGCCCAGCAGGGGGCTGTGTTCTGGCAGGGTTTGGGGTCCCTGGGGGTGGGGAGGGTGGAGCGTAGAGCGGTGATTTGGGCTCCCCTAGGCACAAGTGTCAATGATGGGAGAGTTGGTTGAGGATTTGGCATAGGTGCCAGCAGCCCTGAGGTCACTGGGAGAAGCATCGTCAAGGGGTTTTCATAATTTCTGGACCAGATGATTCTCTCTGACCCTTCCAGGGGGCTGCCCTGCCCTCCACTCCAGGCTGGCCTGGAGTAGGCCAGAATTACCTTTCGCAGAGTTCCCAGCCCTCAGGGCTCCTCTGGGACCGACCCTCGTTCTCTTCCTCCCCTTCCTTCCCCAGGGCACCTGGAACCAGAGGCAGGAGCCACCACAGCGACTTCTCTCGAGGCAACCGCTCTGGCAACCACTGATGCAACCTTTTCGGCCCCTCCCTTGCCTCCCTGCCTCCTGCTTTCCTCTGCGGTTCCTTGGAGCCAGCCAGAAGCCGCTTCCCTTGCTAGAGAGCAGCCGTGCCTCCAGCTCCATGCATGCTGACCCCGGCCCTGGGTCTCCGCCCGCCCGCCCCCCCCCCCCTGCAAGCCCTCCTGTCCTGGCTTTCTCTGGCTGTGTCCCAGCTGTGGGCCAGCAGCAGAGATGCCCAGTCTGGACAGTTCATGGTCTGGTCAGGTTTGGGATGAGAGCGGCCGGTTTGGTTGGCCCCTTGGGGCTCCTCTGGCCACCGCGGGGCAGGCTGGGAATGGAGGATGGAGGGGACCGAGGCATCTTGGAACAGGACTGCTGGTGGCCGCTCAGAAGCCAAGAGAGGCACCCTGGGCATCCTGCTGGTCACTGTTCGTTTGGGGCCTGGCATGATGGGCAGAGAGGAGGCTCCGGCAGCTGAGTTGGCCATGGGCTGGGGGACAGGAGAGGGACTGTGGACGGCTTTCAGGCTGAGACAGGAAACACCTTGACCTGGATAAAACCCGCCCCCCCACCGCCCCGCCCCAACCCTCTTCAAAGCCAGGAGCTGGGCGCCTCTCTCCAGCTCAGAGGTCATCTTGGGTTGAGACACGGCTGGTGGAACTTATGAAGGTGCTGGGTGTGACGAGGGGGCGCCGAGCAGGGGGTGGGAGGCCGGGCCTTGGAGTGGGAGTCTCTTTGCAGGTCGGAGGCCAGAGTGCGACTCCTGTTCTGTGTATGGCACTGGTAGAATTCACTGTGAACAGTCTCGGTCAGTGAATTACCGAAGGGCCATAAACAGAGCAGAGACAGATCCGCGAGTGTCTCAGGAGCACCTCACCCTCCCTTGCCACCCTCCCCCTCAATGGGCTTGGGCGTTGGAAACGGGCTGCTTCCAGGGGCCGCAGCGATGCTTGAGGTACCACGTCCCTCCAGCGGGTCCCCCACCCCAGGTCCTCACCACTACCATCTGCTTGGCCGACTTTGGCACTAGCACATTTTTGCTTGTGTCTCTCCGCTCTGAGCAATCATGTGCAGTGCCAATATGGGAAAAGCAGGATGCTGCAGCCATTCACCTCCCCCGCCACCCCACCCCTGCGTCTTGTGTCCAGGCCCCCACTCTCCTCACTGGCTCCCTGGCCCATCTGGCTCAGCTGCCGTGAGGGCCGTGGCAGCCCGTGGGCAGCCGGATCGCCTTACACTGCCTGGGGCCACAGCAGAGCTGGAAGCCCGGCAATCTGAGCTGGGCCAGCAGATGGGGCTGCCCACGGCCGTGGTGGGGGGGGTGGGGGGCGGTCACCATCTGTGGGCCAGCCTGGGCGGTGCCATGGGTCGCAAAGGCCCGGCTTGGCTCCCAGCACCCCCTTGGGGTGGGACCTTCCTTGGCAGCACAGGGCCTGGCCTGCTGCTGCAGGAACCGAGGGGGGCAGCCCCTGGCAGGGGGTGTCCATGAGGTCAGGCTGGGTGTGTGCGGAGGTGGGGGGGGGCTGTCATCCCTGGGGGGAGAGCCTGCCATGGAGCGGGTCGTCTGGATGGCACTATGAGCAGGGTACTTGGTGAACTTAGAGTGTGGTTCATGCCTTGCACCTGGAATGGTCCCCTTCACACTCCACATGCTGGAATGTGGCTCCCTGGATTGGGGCTGTCATCTTTGAACCTTTGCTGTCATTGGTGTATCAGGCGACATTACGTAAGTCCCCTCATTGATCTCCATCACCGCCCTGTAGGGTTTGGGGTTTTTTAAGTCATGTTGTACACAGGATAGCAGGCTCTGAGAGATAAGGCCCAGCTGAAGAGCCCAGTCCGTGAGTTACAGCTGGGCCTGACTGGCACTTCAGCCACAACGTGTGTGGGGTCAGCCTGCTTGATGGGTTTTGTGCTGTAGGCACTGCCTGCCCCCCAGGGCTTGGAGGCACTTCAGCTCTGAATCTGTAGGCCTGGGTTCCCAAGGGTGCCCCAGACAGCAAAGAATGAGGCTGAGAGGCCTGGACACAGCCGGGGACAGCAGTCAGCAAGAACTCCACCAGCTGATCTGCGATACTGACCAGCCGGGAGCTGTCAGACCCGAAGTCACTGGCCCTGTCCTTGATGGAGCGGCTTGTCCCTGATGGAGCTGCCTGTCCCTGGGGGGTTGGGGGGGCACGAGCCTCAGGCAAGGACTTAGTCAGTACCAGCAAGAGCCCTTTTTGGTTTCTGAGCCAAGAAGTGAAGTGGTGGTGGTGGTGATGAGGGGCGGGAGGTGTGTGGTTGAGGCGGTCAGTCAGTGGAGGATGGCCGGATCCCATGAGCGGCTCCCAAGCCCTCCTGCCCAAGAACTAGGGGCCGCATTGGATGGGTCGGCCATTTCTCTGCTGGCTCCCTACCTGGGAGGAGCCCCTCCTAGTCCCTCCTGCGTGTGGCGATGGTGTCCCTTGGCAGAAGGTCTTCCAAGCCCCCGAAGAGAAAAGGGGCATTTTTGCTTGTTTCAGGGCAGGAGGGGAGGGACTTCTGCCTGGGTTAGCCGCTGCCCTGCAGCTGGCTGTCCCCTCTGACGGCCCAGCCCCCAGAGGGCTGGCCGCTCTGTGCTCTTATCCTTCTGTGTCTGCTCCAGGCCTAAGATGGCTGACCTGCTGCTGCCCTTCCCCTCCAGGACTCAAGGGCTCCAGGACGGAGGGGCGGCGACAAGGGGGTGACCCCTGGCCAGCAGGGGAAGGTGGCTGGTGTGATGGTGGGTCCCTGGGACTTCCGGAGGGCAGCCCTTGCGGTGGGCCCGCAGACCCTGGGTGGTGGCCAGCTGGGCTCCGCTTCCTCCTGTGGCTCTGCTTCTGCCCCCCACACACCTGCCCATGTGGGCACCTCTGCTGAGCCCGGCCGGTTGGGAGCGTGGAGGGGCCGGGTCTGTGCCTCCAGCCAGCCTCCATGCCCCCCTGCCTCTGGGGGCCCAGCTCAGGGATTCCCCCGGGGTCTTCAGGCCCAGTTAGTTTCAGTTCCAGGTGAGGCCCCAGCTCCTCCTGGCTTGGAGCGATGAGTTCAGCCACAAGAATGCAGACCCCAGGAGGGGACCCCTGCAGCTGGTGCTCCTCCCCAAGTTTGGGGTGGGGTGGGGCCCCGCCCCCATTTTGCCTCCCCAATTGCCCTCACCTTTGTTCCTCACCACCCGTTACAATGGGGCCTGAATCCTCTGCGTGTTTCCCAGAGGAAGAAGGTACTCTACCCATTCAGCGGGCACCTCTCAGTTTGGGAGATGTTTAACTCATCCTAATGCCCTGTGTCCCCTAGGAACTCCTGCAGCCTGACTTAAGTCTCTGCCGCTGCCGCTGCCGCTGCCACTGCCGCTGCCGCTGCCACTGAAAGGTCTCTGGGAAGGACTTTGCTCTCCATTTTGGTGTTTTTTTTCAAGAGCAGCCACTCCCCGGGTGTCAGCCTCCCAGTGCAGGGCCCCTCGTCCGGGGAGTCGGGGGTGGCGGGGGGTGGGGGGCCGGGCCTGGGGCCGCTGGAGATGGCAGCTCCCGGGAGGGGCAGTGTGAAGTGGATTTTCCAGACTCCCAGCCCCTCCCCCACACTCCATTTGCTTATTCAATCCCCGCCATTATCCCAGTCCCGGCCGGCTCTGCGAAATGTGATCTGGCTCCATTGATTGCTGGTGGGGGCTGCGGTGCTGGTGCTGCTAGAGAAGCCGGGCTGGTGCGCCGGAGGCAGAGAAGACCCCCCTCCCCAGGCGCCCACCAGCCTGCGGGCGTGGCCAATGAGTGTGGAAAGGGCCCGACCTTGCCCAACACACACACACACAGACATGCACATGGTGGTGGGGGCCTCGGGGCTTCCTGGCCACGTTGCTGGCCCCTGGGAATATCTTGGACCCAGAGACCCTTTGTGCTGGTGCCCCCAGCAGGCCTGCCCGCCCCCACAGGCTGTGCTGTTGCTGTCCCCACCAAGCAGGCTTCCCTCCGTGGGGGCTCCTCTCCCAGTAACCAGGCCCAGGCCCACTCGCCCTGCCCCAGGCAGCAGCCACCCCCCACCCCAGTGGAGTATCCATGGAAGGCCTGGGTCTGTTCACACCTCTCTTCTTCCCAGTGGCGGTAGCTGCTGTCTCCCAGCCCCCGCTCAGGGCCCCAGCCCTGTGGGATGGGATCAGTCTCCCAAACAGCTGCTTCTCCAGCCTGGGCTTCTGGTTTGGAAATGGGCCCACTTACTTCCCAGGGGTCCTGTAGAGCAAATAGATCCAGCCATGGAAGGCTGGGCCACCCTGCTGATTGAAAACATTGAGGACCCGAGAGGTTTCCATGCTCTGTAGGAAAGGGCCTGCCCACATGTGGGGGATGTGGGGCTCAGGTGTGTGCTGTCCTTGGGGTAAGTTACCTGGAGGCCCGAGGAGGAACCAGATTGCACGGAACCTTGGGGAACCAGATTGCACTAACCCTCCAGGGGTGGGTCAGGTGTGGGTGTATGTGGGTTCCTTGGTTGAGGAATTCTATGTGGACAGGATAAGCTGATTCTGGTTTGGCCATTCCTGCCACTGGCCGGCCAAGATGAGTGATGTCAAGGACGCAGCAGCTACCTGAGCCCAGTTGTGGGGGGAAGGCCCTGCCCAGGTGTTCACTGACCGTCTTTAGGGAAGAGCCCCACACGTGAACTGATTTGCATCTTTGGGGCTTGATGATAGGGAAGAGTATTTTGCTTCCCTGGTGGCTCAGTAAAGAATCTGCCTGCAATGCAGGAGACCTGGGTTCGATCCCTGTGTTGGGAAGATCCCCTGGAGAAGGGACCGGCTATCCACTCCAGTATTCTTGGCTGGAGAATTTCATGGACAGAGGAGCCTGGTGGGCTACAGTCCACGGGGTCGCCAAGAATTGGACACGACTGAGCCACTAACACACACACATACAGGGAAGAGTATTATGTACAGAAATACACCTTCCTACCTGTGGAGTGGAGTGCCCAGCTGGTGAGTGTTAAGCTCTAGGGACTGTTATGGGAGGGGTCTTCCTGGATCAAATGGGACCGTGACATGGAGTGCCTGGTAAATAGCAGAGCACTGCCACTTCAGCTGTCTCTTATTTCGAGCCCAGGCAGAGGTTTAGAAAGGCGCCCCAGTCCCCCAACCCCTCTGTCCTCCTTCGCACACCTACCTCCTGCTCAACCACCAGCTGGTGGCCTAGAGCAGGGATGCCCTATCTGGGGGGTCTCCCTGAGAGTGGGTGGGCATCGCCTCGGGGCCTGGGCTGGTCCTGATTGCTGCACCGCGCCGCCCCCCCCACCCCACCCCCCTCCCCTGTCTCCCTTCTGCCGTGCACAGGGGCCTTGAGGAGACGGAGGTCCTGAGGAGGGGCTGGCTCCCACCCCGGGGCCGCCACCAGGAAGGACACCATAGGTCACCTCGTCGTAGTCGTGGGGAGGCTGCCTCCCGCCAGCCCTCCGTGAACCATGCTAGCCGTCCCTGTCTCCTCCCTCAGCTCGCGGGGTGCCGGGTCTGCCGCCGCCGCCTGCCTCCCACCGTTTTTGGCAATGGTAGAACTCACACTGGTGAGGTAATGGGATCCGGTGGTTCTAGACTTGCCAACTATGGTGTGAGGGCTCGGCCAGCAACTCCGGCCGCCGAGGGAGGGTCCATGCTCCACCTGGACCTGCTGCCCCGCTGGGGAGGAGGAGGGGGCTCCGGCCCCCGGACAACCGGGCAGTGGCAGAGGGCGGTGCAGCTGGAAGTGAACTCAGCATCTTCCTGCGCCCCCCTAGGTCACAGGTCAAAAATCAGCCGGCAAGCTGTTCTCCAGGGCCCTCAGTGCTACTGAGAGGGCCTGGGGTCCAGGCTGAGGTGACGGAGCGGGCGGGGTGCAGGGCTTAGGAGGGAGGGAACACTGGGGCTCCGCTGCCCTCACTCATCTCTTCTAGGTGAGGAGCCTCCTCACCCTTTACCTGGAGGCCCTCTGTTCAGGGTGGGCTCTGAGACCCCGGGGGAGGGCCCCCTTCCATTTCTCACTGAGAGCAGGTCTCTCCCTTAGGCTGTTGTCTGGGGGAACGAGGGCAGAGAGGACTGGCCATCTGTCCCCAGGCATCCTTCCCGACACAGTGGTGGATGGGCGGATGGGACAAAGGCCCCAGAGATGTGATGTTTAAGCCATTTGTATAAGTAGGGGGAACAGGTCCCTTGGAAGTTGGTGGCCCCTGGGCTGGAGCCCTGCTTCCAGCTGCAGCTCTCCGCTGGGTGGACAGCGGGTATGCCTCAGGGTCTGCTGACAGACGGCACCCACCTTCCCAGAGCCAGGCTGCAGCGGGAGCTCCTTCAGACAGACCCCGGGCTTAAGAACCTGGCTTGGGTCAGGAGAGGTGGGAGAATAGTGGTGGGCAGGCCTGTAGGAGAACTTTCTGCACTTGCAGAAGGCTCAGGGGCAGTGGGTTTAGAGCTCCAAGTGTGTGTGTGTGTGTACACATGTGCGCATACACATGTATTCTGACCCAGTGAACAGTACAAATACAGATGCAAATCCTTCCCCCTGCTCCCAAGCCCCCAGACCTGCTCAGCCCCCGATTTCTGGGAAGACCCTGTCCCCTGTAGCTCTAGCTGTCCTTCCCCGCCTCCTGCCCTCAGGTTGGTCAGTGGTTCCAGACACCAGGGCTGATGGTGGGCAGGGGCAGGCAGCTCACTCCAGGCTTGCCCTGGTCCACACAGCTGCAGCCTTTCAGGATGAGCTGGGCTGAGCGGGGAAGTCTGGGCGGGGTGGGGGAGGTGTAGGCTGTTGAGGATGTGTCCCCCAGAGGAGAGAGGCTGAGCCCAAGCTCTTAAGAGAAGGGGACCGTCCACTCACAGGAGTTTAGAAAACCTGATAAATTACAGCCAGGCACAGGGAGAGTGTGGGTTTCTGCCTCATGCTGGACATTTATTAAGCACTCACGGCATACCACACTGTGTAGGTGGAGCAGGCAGCATGCAGGGTGTGAGGGGCACTTGCTGGGATGTGGGAGCCCTGGGGCTGAGTGGCATGGGGCTTGGATGAGGACGAGGAGGAGGAAAGGAGGAGCCTGTTGGAAAAAGCCCAGATTTCCTTGGGGACCACGCCAGGCTGGAAGGCAGGAGGCCATTGCTGAGGGCCTTAGGGGCTATATGTTTGCCCTTGAACCTGAGGGCAGTGGGGGAGCCATGGAAGGCAGAGAAGTGATGTGATCAGGTGAGTGATTTGGCACGACCACCTACAGTAGATGGAGGAGGAATGGAGGGAGGAGACACGGTCACAGGTCCCTGGTGGGGGCAGTGGTCTGAGCGTTGGTTCGAGGAGATGGTGGTCTGGATGGATGGAGGCTGTGCGGCTGGACTGGAGTGAGAACCAGAAACACTGCCTGGGAAGATGAGTGAGGGAACATGGGTCTCTTGCCTTAAAGGGCTTAGTTCCTAAGCCTGTGAGTGGCGAGGGGAGGTGTGCTGTCAACACTGCAGGCCCCCTCCAGGGGCAGCCTGGGGTGCGCTTTGCTCCAGGGTGAGCACTGGGGAATAAATTATCGTCAAAGCCAAGGAGGGGAGCAGAGTGGGAGGTCAGGCCGTCCGCATCAAGCACCCCAGGCCCCTTTCCTGCTCCAGGCTGGCTCTTTGAAGCCTGGAGGGGCAGATAGGAATAAGATGATTCTGGTGTCTTGGGGGCAGTTGAGGAAATCAGGAGTGGGGATGGGGAACTTTGGACAGATAGTCAAGGAGACAGCTACCGATCTTTGAGCAACTTACAATGTATATTTTCGTGATTTCAATTAATCCTCACAGGACGGATGACGAAGCACCTTGACCTCATCCAGGGAAGCAGAGCCCTGGCCATCTGCCTCCCGAGGCTGCGAACGCCGCTCTGCACGCAGGAAAGGAGCTGCCCAGGCTGTGGCCCCTTCAACCGCTGCGGAGGCCCTGCCCTCTCTGGGGGTCGTGGTTGCTGGGGCGATGAGACCAAAGCCAGGTCTGATGGGGAGCACCCGGGCACCGTCCCCACGGCCACCCCTCAGCCCGGCCCCCAGATCGTCCTCGGTGCTGATCTGACCCATGGCACCCCCCTCCCCCACCCCAGGATAAGCCCAAGCGCCTTACATGGTTTATGAGGCCTCATGTGACCTGGCCTGCCTCGGCAGGCTGGCCCCTTGTCACTGCTCCTGACTTCCCTTTGTGTTCTGCTAGGAGAACCCACATGGGGGGCCTTGCCCCCCCAACCTTTATCTGTGCTCATGAATCTACAATCTGGCAGCTACCCAAACACCCGGGACACACCTCTCTCCCAATCCTAGCTGCCTCATTGAAAGCACCTGCTGGTAGGTCTGCTTCTCTGTCAGTTGAAAGCTATTTGGGGACCCGGTGGGGTCTCACTCATACCTTCATGCCCAGGGCCGGCAAGGTGTGTAACAGAGTGTGTAACAGGGAGGCCCTGGAATGCGACAGGGTATCGACATTCTGCATGGCTTTGCTCACACCTGTAGGGTCCTGTTCACCCCCAGATCCCAAGTTCCCCAGGACTGGAAGGAACACTCATGGTGCATGTAGCCCCTCGGCCCCTTAGGTCAACGGGAGGTGCTCCCTTGAGCCAACTGATATCCCTGTTGGGGATATCATGCAAACGGCTGGGCTCACTGCTGGAGGCCGGGCAGCCAGTGTAGATGGGGCCTGTTCCGGCACATACAGCTCAGCTGGGATGGCAGGATAGGTATGAACAGCCATGTGGATGGAGGGCAGGTCTGTGCAGTGGCGATGGTAGGAGGCACTGGGCCCAGAGAGGAAGGCATGGTCCCCACGGCAGGGCTGGCTCTGAGTAAAGGTAGCACCTAGATTGATCCTTAGAGAAGAGGATCACGTGGAGAAGGACGTGGGCAACAGCCAGCTCCAGGAGGACCAAGCTGTAGCCATGAGATGCCAGAAGAGTCGGGAAGGGAGTCGTGGGAGGTGAGGCTGAGGAACCCTGGACTCGCCCCTCTGCTCAGGCTGGAGGACACAATCCTGCTCCCACCACAGTCATTTGCCACAGACTACAGTGGGAGCATGTGGTTGATACATCCAGGACAGCCAGAACAGTGGTCTCGTGGGGGCATTCTTGCCCCTTTGGGCGACATTTGGCAGTATCTGGAGACACTTGATTTCAACTGGAGTGGGAATTGCTACCAGCATCTAGTGCATGGAGGCCAGGGATGTTGCTCAACACCCTACAACGCACAGGATCGCTCCCCACAACAGAATGATTGACCCAGATGTCAAGAGAGCCGAGGTTGAGAGATCCCAGAGTGGTAGGTGATAAGCACCAAGTTGACATCTGAGAAGGAAAAGTGTAAAACCCTATGTTTAGAAGAAAAATCAGTTGGACAAGGGCAAGAATGGAGGAAACCAGGCTGTAATGAAATTCGGGTGGAAGGAAGAGCTGATGACTCCGGTTAACTACATATTCACCAGGGATGACACTGAAGGAGGGACAGCATCAGATCATGGGGGTGGGTGGTGTTAGGGGGGTGGGATGGGGATGGGTGGGTGTGAGTAGACTATATCTGTGCCTCAGTCAGGGTCTGGTGCCATCTTCAGAGAGCTGGGCCAGACCAATGACCGTCCAGGGAGCAAGGTTCCCATTTGCGGATTGATTATTGCTAGCTCGGTGATGCATTTAAAGATGTGTTTTTTAAAATATTTTTTAAATGCAGCTCTTTTGGTTTTCCCTGGGAGGGTCATTCAGGACATCTGGTCCACTTTGTAATTAGAAACAGCTCACCACCCTCTAGGAAATGTTGGAACTGGAGATTTTAGCCATAAAAAAGGGTGGGAATGTGAAGGCTGTTTTCAAGTATTTGAAGGCATGGAGATCTTCACAGTTCTCTGTGGACCCAGACACAATGCAAAGACTTTACAGAGAAGCAGATTCTGTTTGTCTCACAGAACTTCCTGATGGGTAGGTTGGGCTGACTTAAAATGGGTTAACTCTCCATCTCTGGAGATGTTACACCCAGGTGTTGGGGTGCTGCGGGGGATGGCGGCCTTAGATGGGGGCCGGACCAGGTGTCTCTGTGATGTGTCAGGTTTAGATTTGGGCTGGTTCCTCAGCCAAGGTGGGAAGGGGGCCTCTTGCATCTCATTAAGCTCCCTGACCACAACCTAGGTGTTAGCCCACAGTTTTGTTTTTAATATTTATTTATTTGGCTGCATTGGGTCTTGGTTGCAGCACGCTGGAACTTCATTGCATCATGTGGGATCTTTGTGGCGCATGGACTCTTTAGTTAAGGCATTCGGGCTTAGTTGCCTGATCAGGGATTGAACCCAAGGCCCTGCATTTCAAGCCAGATTATTAACCACTGAACCCCCCAGGGAAGCCCATCACATGCAGCTTTTTTAATGTTTTTAAGTGCTGTTGTGGTGAACAAACTGCAAATTAATGCAAGAGTTTTGCATTCATGGTGGATGTGTCTCTCCTCAAACATCAGACACTGGAAAGCCAGTTGCTGCAGTGGAAGTGCTGGTGGGCTGTGGGTTTTGATGGTGGATTAGTCTCATATAAGGGTTCTCAAAGCTCTGACCTAAGTGTTGGCCGATGGCTGACCTGAACCTTCCAGGAATGGCAGTCACCCCCTGCACTGGCTCCCCTGGGGCTTCTCGGGGTAAGAGGCCTGTCGGAAAATGAGACAGCTGGCTTGGGGAGGGTGATGGAGGTAGCAACGAAGCTTCCCTCTTCTCATCCTGGGCCCCCAGCTGAGCTCCATTAACAGATACTTCTGGAGGGTCTAATGTGTGTGCTCCCCACCCCCTGATGTTATCTGCCCTGCCCTGCCCTGCTCTGGAGGGCTCTCTCTTCTGGGAGCCAGGCTTCTGCCTCCTCAGCTCTCCTGGAAAAGTGGCATGGGCGAAGGGCGGGGGCTTGAAGACTTTTGGACCAGAACAAGGACAACTTCCTGTAAAGATTATCAGGGGACGTGAGATGCCTGAAGAGGCACCCCTTGGGTGGAAACAGAACCCTTCATTGCCACTGATGAACCCACAAGTCTGAGGTGTCTTTTATGAAACCAAAGGTATCTTGCCTTGGTGGGTTTAACAAGGTGGGTTTTACTTTCCGCAGTCACTGCCTTTGCCATGTTCTGTTGACTCTCCCTTCTAATTCCTTAATGAGGTTTTGAGTGAATTCCATAGCTTTGTAAGTATGGTGCATCATTAGGCCCAGACCACGTGAAGCTTCAGTCTCAATACTGACTTGAACTTCATCTTCTGTGCTTGGAGGGAAGGCAGGATCTGCAGTGTTTGGGGATGAGGGTGTGGTCCAGAGCCTCTAGAATGGGGGGCGGAGCCTGGTTTTGCAGAAATCCTGTTAGTTATAAGCACTTTCCTCAATTCCAAGGACCCCAATAGCACCTCTCCAGTTCCCTGCAGGTCTTATACAAACTGGGGAGGGATCAGCTGTAGTGGCGCCTGGAGGCAGCGGGGCTGATTTTGCCTCTTAGTTAAGTCCTGGTGGCTCAGTGGTAAAGAATCCACCTGCCAATGCAGGAGCCTCAGCTTTGCTCCCTGGTTGGGACGATCCCCTGGAGAAGAAAATGGCAACCCACTCCAGTATTCTTACCTGGGAAATCCCATGAACAGAGGAGCCTGGTGGGCTATACAGTCCATGGGATTGCAAAAGAGTCGGACACAACTCAGTGACTAAACAAGAAGCTCTGGTGGAGGAGAGTGGCTCCTATGCTTGGTGATACTCTAGAGAACGTAGGGGTTTGAATATCCTCAGCTGGGTTTCCCAATGACCAGGGAATGGGAGAGCCCTGAGCAGCCTCCAGCTGCACCATTTCACATGACTCACAGTGATCAGCTGCTCATCATGCTGGTCTTTCCTCCTCCCTTCCCTTAGTGATCTGCAAATAACTACCCACAGCCTCTCCCAGAATAATTTCAAAATTGAAAGCACACACACAAGACCCTCTGGAAGGGTCTCTGTTGATGGAGCTGGGCTGGGTGCCCAGGCTGGGAAGAAGGAGCCTTCCTTGTGGCCTCCATTGCCCTCCCTAAGCCTGTGGCCTCCTTTTCTAGCCAACCTCTCACCCTGAGAAGCCCCATGGAGCCAGTGCAGGGGGAGACTTCCATTCCTGGAAGGTTCAGATCAAGCTTCAGCCAACACTTATGGCAGAACATTACTTTAAAGTAATGCTTAATGCTTTAAAAAATGTGAAAGATGCTGAATGTAGTTACCCTTAAACTTAACAAAAAATTTTTTTTCTGGTGCTTTTTTAATAACTGATGAGTTGTTCCTTTCTTCTAGTTACAGGAACCCCTTTACTAGGAACAAAACGGGAACCTTCATCATATCACTATGTTGACCCCACAGTTGGCAAACGTGTGACCTCCTTTTATTTGGTCTTGACTTCTTTTTTTTTTTTAATCTCATTGCACACATCCTTTATATAACCTGCTTCAAATTATTTTTCAAGAAAAATGTTAAAAAAACAAAAAACCCTTTCGTTTGGGGATGATGAAAATGTGAAATTCGAAAATGTTGTGTAGTGGTTACACAATATTGTAAATACACTAAAGCCCCTTGACTTATGCACTTTAAAGCGAAAGCACTAAGAATGTAATAAATTATGTATCATTAAAACTTTAAAAAAAAACGAGGTTACTGGGGATGGTGGGAGTGGGAAGACGGGCCACCCTATTCATTACCCAATGACTCCTAATTTTCTGATTCAAGACATTCACAGACTCAGGAGGATCTTCGTAGAGGCAATGAAGAGCAGTGGGGAAGCTGTTAGGATCCCAGCTTCACTGTTTCCTGGTTGATGCAGCTTTGGTGGAAACGATGGCAACTGCCATGCGGTGGATCCATATCCCAGCCCCTGCAGGGGCTGCTCTACTTGTGGGACGGCCAGCCCCGCAGCTGGGTTTGGCTACCCCGCCCCAAGGCCGATTAGTCCGGAGACACAGGTGACTTCAGCGGGCCAGTCAGCTGTGCCCTCCCCGAGACCACCCCTCCCGATTGGAGAGTGCAAACTTGGGTGCCGAGGACACTGGTCTTTCTTTGTCAGGCACCTCCGGATTTCTGCTGTTCACATCCATAATGGTTCTGATCACCAGTGGGCCCCAGGAGCTTTTGGTGTCCTTCAGTCTGTGCAGGCGGGCTGGGCAATGCTGGGGCATGGACGGGACACTGAGGCCAGGGCTCACAGTCAGGATGCTTGGCCTAGACCAAGCCAGCTCCTCTGGCTCATTTTCGGAACCGGAGTGACACCCAACTCAGCCACCTCATTGAGACAGGCAAGCGACTCCACACTGTTGGTGATATAGGATCTCCAGAAACATCTGTTGTCCATGGAGTTTAACCAGTGTTTTGTACCGATGAGAACTGTGGATTAGGATAAAGAATCCTATTCTGTGTTTAGTCTCTTAATTTTACTCTTGTGAATTAAAAAAAGAAAAAGCTCTCTATAAAAATAGTTCTTGTAAGGGAACTAGAAAAATATTTCGGGTTTTGAGACTGAATGGAAAAGCCAGAGAAGGCACTCAGGGAGCAGAGGGCCATGGGGGTATGGATGACTTCCACCAAGTCAGAAGTCTGGGTACAATGCCACCAGTCGTGGGGTCCTGGGCTTCTCTGTACCTGTAAGCTTAACCTTCATGGTCTAAATGATGGGTGATGGTTAATGTCCCTCCCAGCTTTAGAAGTCTCTTGCACACAAGGGCCGGGGGAGCCCAAAGACTCGTTGAGGTTTAGGCTCAACTGAAGACATCACAACCCAGCTTTGCCAAGATTTGGCTTGGCTTCCTTGCCCAGAGCTTCCTGGGTTTTAACATCAACTGATCTCTCTCTGCATTTGGGCCCTGGGGCTTTTGTTTTTAAATTTTTTTTTTTTTTAACTTAGTTTTAAAATTTTTTGGCCACACTTCCTGACATGTGGAGTCTTAGTTCCCTGATCAGGGATCGAACCTGTGCCCCCTGCAGTAGAAGCTTGGAGCCTTAACCACTCAGATGCCGGGAAAGTGCCCCCTGGGGTTTTTAAAGAAAGCATAATGTGGGCCATCCCTGGTGGTCCAGTGGTTAGGGCTCTGAGCTTCTGCTGCAGGGGCACAGGTTTGATCTCTGGTCTGGGAACTAAGATCTGCATGCCATGCAGCGCAGACCAAAAAAAAAAAAAGAAACTGTAACGTGACTGTTCATACTCAAGAATATGTTCGTGCACCAGCAACTTCACTACCCTTCACCCTGGGGACAATCTCACAGGGCCGATTTTTCTTAGCAATAAAATCATTTTTACATCAAACATTATTTTTACATTTAACAAAGTTAACATTGGATTTTTGCAGAACTATTTGGAAGTAATGAGAATGTGTGGGAATGGATGTTTTTGGGGTTCTGTGGATTTTCTGATTGAATAAGGACCAGGCATGGTCCTTAGGGCCTGCTCAGAAAACACTGGCCACTGGGAGAGGCTGCACGTGAGTTGAGCTTAGGACTCAGCTGGAAGTTACTTTAAAGATGAGAATCTAGGGGCTTCCCCAGTGGCTCAGTAGTAAACAATCCGTCTGCCAATGCAGGAGACATGGGTTCAATCCCTAACCCAGGAAGATCCTGTGTGCCGCGGAGCGACTAGGCCTTTGCGTCACAACTACTGAGCCTGTGCTCTCTAGAGCCTGGGAGCCGCGAGACCATGTGCCACAACTACTGAAGGCCCGCGTGTCAGAGCCCGTGCTCATCAACAAGAGACGCCACAGAAATGAAAAGCCTGTACATTGCAACTGGAGTTTGCCAACTGTACACTGCCCCCTCTGGCTGCAACTAGAGAAAAGCTGCACGGCAATGAAGACCCAGCACAGCCATACATTACACAAAACATGGGAGTCCAGATGTGCAGCTCATTTTATGTCACCTGTCCCCCGAGAGGTTGGCACAAAGAGCTGAGCTTCTGGAGGCAGGCTTATTAGTCTGACCCCAGTTCTCCATTTACTAGTTCTCGGAATTGGCCCAGTCTTAGCTCCCACACCTATACAATGGAATCTAACCTCCATCTGAGGTTGTGAAAAGGATTAGAAATAAAGATGTCAAGTATTTTGCATAGTGTCTTGTGCAGAGCAGCCATTTAATAACTGAAAGTTATTAGTTTCTTAAAGGGTAAATAAATTCAGAAGAAATTTGAGTTGAGACCCAGTTAATTTAAGTTATACCAACAATTTTATTGACAAGCGCATTAAGTTTGGGGGATATTTCTAGCTCCCCTCCCCAAGTATTAAATAAGCTACCTCTTAACCTCTTTGTGGTTCAGTTTGCTCATCTGTAAAGTAGGGATAGTAACAGAACTTTTGCAAAGACTAATAAGTAACAATGTAAAGGTAAATCTCTTAGAACAAGGCACATTGTAAGGCCTGTACAAGTGTTCACTATTTTAACTGCTACCATATAAACACTCTTAATTGCAGATAGGCCATGGTTCTCATAAGCTAGAGCTAGGAAGGTCTCTGCACAGGGCTAGGGCGCAGGCCTGTCCTTGCCTTACAAGGTGGCTCTGGGTAAGACCTGGGTTTTTGGGGATCCTGGCCCTGCTCTGCAGATGAATATTATCCTGGTACCTTTGCTTCCCCCTGTCCAACTCTTTGCAGAAATATACACTCCAGTACTCAACAAACATCCGCTTACAGCCAACTGGTTTTTCAGAAGGGAGAAACTCAAATTCAGAGAGGGGCCCAGCAGCAGTGGGAGCAGAACTCTCCATCTATTTCAGAGTCCAGTGCTAACGCTGTTATCTCCTCACTCTGTGCACCTCCTTCCTCTGGGCTGTCTCCACTGTCCCGGGTGGATCTTCTCCAAGAAGTGCCAACTGGGAGCAAACAGCAGAGGCCAGATGGGATGCACTGATGGGCATCCTTGATGCTGGCATCTGAGCACGAGCTGTGCGGAGGCCACAGGCTGGCCTGGCCTGGCCTGATGCCCTGGGCGGCCCACAGCCCACTGAGATGGAGGTGCGAGGGGAAATGTGGGCTGATCTTCCTCAGCCCACAAAGCCTCTGCTCCAAATAAGCTTCGACGTTCCCCCCGACACCAAAAGGACCTATCACAGGTCCAGAGCTGCTCCATCCACAGCTGAGGCTTTGGAAGGGGCTGGCGAGGGCGGGGGCGGGGTGGGGGGTTGCTGATAGAGGAGAGAAGAGGAACAGCAGCAGATAGGAAGGAAGGTAAATGCAGGAGCAGGCCCTCTTCGATGTGAGAAGTGGCTGGAAATGAGCCTTGTCTGGGTCTGAGTGAGGCCCAGGGCTCTTCTTACAGGGCGAATGGTCCCTTCTCTTCCCTGCCCTTCTGGTTCTCCTTGGCTCACTCATCTCAGTTCAGATGGCTCCAGTGGTCACCAGCATCACCAACGGATCTTTTCAGATGTAGGATGTAAAGTGAAGAATTCCGAGCCCGGGGTCTTGGTTTCGATAAGCACCAGATCCTTGTCTGGAGCCTAGATGATAAACTACTTATTGCAGAGGACCCTTGAGCAGATAAAATGAGATAACAGGACCCCTTCTGCCACATCATTCTGTTCGGATGGCACCTTATCACACTGGGCTGCCGCGGTCTGTTCACACAAAAACATCTTCTCGTCTCATCCTGTTTCTTGGGCAACTGCTATGCTTCATTCACCTGGCACGTGGCAAGCATTCACTAAAGTAAAACGGATGCCTGGGGCCAGAGCTGGTCTACAGGTGGGTTTTGTTTTGCCGGCAGAGCATGTGAAAGACTTGATTTGTTGTTGAAATCAGGAAATTCATGCACAAATCTGGATTCCTCAGTTTCTCTGGAAAATTTAAGAGATAGGATTGCAAGGCCCATGTTCCTCCTGCTTGGAGACAGTCCACTAGCCCTCAGGAGAGGCCACTCCCTTTAGAGATGCTCTCCACTGTGCCTGTCTCCATCACTCCTTCCCCTCTCACAACGGAGCGGCTTCCACTTTACTCAGATTCCACCTGCTGGGGCCCTGTAGGCAGCTGAGTCAGCAGCTCCTGCTGGTGAGTTGGGCAGTACCGGAAGTGAAGTTCTCTATCAGCCCCACCAAAGAGGGTTTCAACACATGCTTGTTGAACAGGCAGCAACTGGGTCTTGCCAGGCAAACAGAATTACTGTGCCTATGGAGAGACACCATCCCCACAGAGGTACTCTAGACAACCAGCTGTTGCAGGGGTGCCCGATGGCAATGATATCTGCTTGCTCTGGCTGCCACCAATCCTTTCTCTGGCTCACCCTCTGGTGACAATAGATGATGATGTGCCATTTGGGCAAGAAGAAGGGAGAAGGGTGGCACTGGCTTTATCGGGCCACTCTCAGCAAGGAAAACATCTCTGGCCTCCCGAATTCAACTATTGTAATCATTATTACCAGGAAACAGACCCAAACACCCAACAAAAGGAAAGAAAGGGGTGGTGGAGGGGGCAAGGAGAGCATCCTTTTGAGCTGAGGAAAGCAGCGGGCACAAGTGTGGAAGTGCAAAACCACTGGGAGGTTTAGGAAGGGCCCGAAGCTGGGGGTGTGGCAGGAGGTATGGGTAGAAGAATGACAGCTGCCACGTGAAGGAGTGAGCGGTGAGAGAAGCCAAGGAGGGAGGCCTTGAGGGAACAAAGGCATGGGGCCCCCGCTTCAAGAAGGAAAGTCCACTGCAATACTGAACAACACTCGTGTGGGGAGGACACAGATGGACAAGTATCACCACCCACCCTGATTTTAATGTGGAATGCAATTAGCCCCTAAAAAAGGAACTCCAGAGAAGAGGTTTTCAAACTATCTTTAGGATTTTTCAAACTAGACGCCCCCTGCCGTAACCCCTCTGGACAGCATCTTGTAAAACTGATTCAGCAGAGCTGCTCTGGTGACGGAAGACAGGCAGGAGCCACCCCCTTCCACACCGGCATCCCCCTTACAGGGCTCCACAATGCTCAGGAACACGGGTCAAAGATCACTGAGCTTGAGTAAAAGCGCCTACTCCTTTTACAAAGCAGAACAAGCCACCCCAAAAGAGAGCTCCTAAGAGGCTAAGTGCTCCTACACAGACGAACACTTCCACTTCCTGTTGCCACATCGTTAACTATTTATTGAATGAGGCAGTAATAGACAGAAGGGAAAACGACACAGAATCCATGCTCTGCTACTGGGGTTCTGCTTTTCTTCTTCTTCTTGGCAATTTCTCAAACTATCAGGAGGGTATTTCACCACAAAGGAACACGGACTTTAAAGCCCCTGGACAGTTTCACAATGATGATAAAAAATAATAATTAAAAAAAAATAACAAATTGTAGAACTAGGACTGTTTTATGTAAATTTCCCTTCCCTCCCCCCATTACGTACAGAAAAAAAAAAATACAAAGAACACTGGATAGTTTTATATAAAACAAGCAAATACAAGAATCTGAAACTCTCAAAGGCTGAGCAAGACGTGAAGAATCTTTTTAATGTCGCGTTAAAAAAAAAACAACACATTAAATACACAGTCACACACGGGGGTGGGGGGGCCCGGGAGGAGGGAGGAAGGGTCATCCCCGTACTCAAGGAGCAGAGATTTGGCCTGTCAAAAAGTCAGGTGAGTTTAACCCCTGGAGACTCAGGGCTGGCTTGTGGCTGAGAAATCACAGAATTTCATTACAAAGAACACCCAGACCAATTAACAGCCATGAGAGGGAAGCTGTGGGGCCTGGGCCTAGCACGATGCACCTGGGACAGCTGCAAGGTCCCTTCTGAGATCGGGCCTGATCCAGGGGCGCAGGGGGCACCCTCAGCCTTCTTCTCTCCAGTGCCCCTCAGTCTAGTGGCCAGCCTTCCTCACGCCAGGAGCCCCTGTCAGTTCTGTCTCCTCTGTTAAGCTACAGGAAGTCACAGGAAGGGAAAAAGTTGCTCCCTTTGGTGCACCCTGGTCTTTAAAAGATTTTTCTCTCCCTCCTTCCTTTCCCCTTCCAACTCCTCCCACCCCCTCATTCTCTCCACGATGCACACACCCACAAGCACACGCAACGCGCACGCATTCCTCAAACCCTTAATACTTCTGTCACCTTCAGTTCATATACATGACCAATTCAGGACTGACCTTAAAACCAAAGCGACGGGTTAACAGTCGTGAGATCGAGAAGGTTTCCTGGGGAGGGGAGGAGATGGGAAAGAAAGAAAACCCTCTCGACCCCGCCTGGGAGCTTTAAAGACATTTCATTTGCCTGTGGCAAGGTCAGCATCTGGGCCAGCCCGAGGAGCGTCTCAGCTGCCAGACCACGCGGCCCCTGGGTCTTGCAAGCACAGTTTCTGGACCTCACCCCAATCCGGAACCTCCGTTCTCAGGTGAGCCCAGCAGGGAGAGTTCTGGGTGGCCACTGGGAGGCAGCTTTGGTGAAGGGCATGGTCACCTCCGCCTGAGTTTGTCAGTAGCTCAACGCATGACCCTGGTATGAACAAAACCAGGTGGCTGTCTGGCCACGTACCCTACACCCACTAAACTGGGTGAATTATTTTTCCACAGCTCACCTTGATTTCATACAGATAATTCCATGCGGGTTTCTTTTATATATATATATATATATATATATATATCTACACATATATATATATACTCTATATATATATGTAAATGTGTATATCCATATGTACACATATACATATATTCACATTCACACATACACACACCGAAGTATACACACGTTTCCGCAGAAAGAAGTCCTGCCACAATTTGGCTTTTGCGGGGCCGTGAAATTGACAACGCAGTATCTTATTCCACCAATCCCAGAAAATCAAGAGTGGTGCTTTTTAAAAAATGCAATTCCAAAATCCACTGCCTTTCTTCCTTTTTAAAAAAAAGGTTAACAAAACTTTTCTTCCAAAGTCGAGAGACTTAATTCCATTTGATTGCACCTCTGCAAACGTGTAAAAAATTTTGAAGTAGACTAGAAAATGATGCCATGGTATGGCTGCCTGTCACTGTTCCAACGTCACCACCTCCACAGCCTGGCCGTCCATGGTGACTGCGCTGTCCGATATCCTGGTGGTCACAGGGGCCATGGCCACCTGCACCGGCCCGTTACCCTGGGCGAGGCTGGTTACCACAGTCTGGTACATGCTCACAGGTATCTGGACCAGTCCTGGGGAGACAAGGGGAGACCGTCAGTGGGGGCTGCGTATAGGTTCCCGGATGCTGGCTGGACGGGGCAGTCAGCTCCAGCCCTCGGGGTAGCACTGTCTGCAGCTGCAGGTAACTGCATACCCACTGTCCAGGCACAGATACGTCCCTTTCCCCACCCCATTTTAACACTTTAAAACAGACCATCAGGAAGAGAATGTGGAGAAGTGGTAGACACATGCCTCAGAACAGGGCCTCCCCAACGTGCCAGAGATGACCCCGCCTGCCCGCCTCTCCCCAACTTCAGGCCTGCATAGACCCCGCAGGGATGGACTCTCCTCCCAACAAGCCTGTCTCTCCTGACTGCCTCCTCTCTAGGAGAGGCCACATTCATGCTCTTGGATATCCTGCTACACTGACTTCTTCAGCTCTCTCTCTGCCTATGCTCAAGTTTCTCTCAGCTTGAAGAAACTTCTCCCTTAAACTTAGCCTGCCTTCTGGCCGTTGTCCCTCTCCTCCGTGTCAGTTTTTTGTTTTTTCTAAAGCCTAGGTCATTAGTTTCCTGATTTTAGATTTCATAGACCAGTAGAAATTTTAAATACATTCTGGGGTCAACTTAAAAAAAAAATCCCAACTACCTCCTAATATCACTATTATTTCACAGTAAAAAGAAGTGTTTAGTAGAAAGAGAGGAGGAAGCGAATCATTTTAGAAAGGGCAGTCCTTCCAAAGAAAGGAAAACTGACAATTTTATATGACATATTAAAAAAAATTTCCAATTAAATAAGACAGAATAAATGCACATATAAAATTCTTCTTCCTGATGAAACAAAAATTATAGTGAAGGAGAAAAAAAAAAGATATGAATCAGAGATGGCAATATATTGGGTTGGCCAAAAAGTTGATTCGGGTTTTTAAATAGCATCTTAGGGAAAACACAAACTTTTGGGCCAACCCAGTATTTCTGGGAGATGCAAAGCACACATAAAGTGGTTCTGACATTAAAGAAGGGGAAGCTGCACGTCCTGTGTCCTGGAGTTCTCAGGGCATGGAGGCTCAGCTACTGCAGAATGAGAGGAAGAAGTGAAAGGTAGGAGTTAGCTGACAGTTTGTATTCAACTGACTGGACCAGTAGGTCCTACCAATCCCAACACTCAGGCCTTTGTTGACCAGAAATCTGAAGTTCAACCACTGTTATTGAGAAACTGACCTGGAGAAGCCCCAGAGAAGATCTATGATAGTATCTGGTGGGTGGGGAGGTGAGGGGTCGGGGGTGTGGAGACAATGAAAGATCTGGCCTGCAGTCCTAAGACTCACCACCCCGAGGCCTACAGGTCACCCAGCTCTGCCCTGCACACCCCAACAAGCTGTGTTTCAGTGTCTCCCTCTTAAGGAACACAGAGGTAACAGACAACATGGGGAGCAGAAACAAAAACAAAAGGCCCTAAACTCTAATACCTTCAGAGACAGAAAAGATTTGTATCATACAAACGGACACTTTTATTAAAAAGGAATGAGAGAAAATTTGTTAAAGAAATCAAATAGATGAAATACATTCCACATAAAGATGAGACGGTAAAGTCAGGGAAGTCTTCCAGAGAGCAGAAGAGGTTAAAAGATGGAAAGTAGGAGACCTTAAGAGATCCAATCTCTGATAAAAGAGCTTCCTAGAGACTGGAAAAAAACAGAAGGTAGGAAATTATCAGACACATTGCAAGTAAATCTCTAGAACTGAAAAACATGATTTTCAGATTGAAAAGGCCCATTAGATACCCAGCAGAACAGAAAAAAAAAAGATCCAGATGCTAAGACACAGCTTCGTAAAATTTCAGAACACTAAGGATAAAGCAGAGATCCCAAAGGATTTGAGAAGGGTAAAAAAAAAAAGTCACATACAAAGAACTGGAAATCATTATTGGATTTCTCAAAAGCAAGCCTGGAGGCTAGACGATGATGGAGCAGTGGCTTCAAACCTCTGAGAGAAAATGCTTTCAGCCTAGAATTCTATCTCCAGCCCATGAAATGACACCCACGCCAATTAAGTGTGGGGACAGAATAAACACCTCCTCAGACTTGTAAGGGCTGTAAAAGCCGGCTACCCGTGCACACTTTCTTTGGAAGCTCTGAAGGATGTTCCCCAAAGAAATGAGACAGGAAAACTTAAGAAATAAGTGGCTGTGGGGTCCAGGAGACAGAGAACCCACTGTAGGGAGCTTGGGGACAGGAGGAGGGCCCAGGATGGGGGCTGTGCAGTATATCTGGGAGGAGAGGGGATGTGGCATGAGCTCATGGGATAGAGTACCTCGAGGGGTCTTCCAGAATTGGGTAGAACCGGTGATTACTCCTTAAAAAGTAGAAGAAAAAAAAAAGCAAGGATTAACCATACCCACTCGTCGTGGCAGTGAACAAGTTTTACCTTTATAAAAATTTTATGTTTATAACAATATAAACATAGAAACTGAGTTACTGAAAATTGTGATGATGTCTCAACTCAAGAAATAATATGACTATTATTCAGAATAATACACATACATACCAGAAAAAAGAACATGGAGTGTTGCCTCTGGGGTACATATATATATATTTTTTAAAGGCCTTTTAGTTCTTTTTGTCATTTAAAACTATGTATCACTTTTGTGAAAATAAAAATTAATTTTAAAAAGGGATGTTTTACTGAGTATTTCCTAATGCAAAAACAAACAAGCAAACATAAAATAACACGTCAATTTTACAATGTTAAACTGTATCTAACTGTTTCCCAGGGCTAACTGTTGACGGTTTGGAAATGAGTATTTGTTGATGCTTCCCTGGTGGCTCAGGCGGTAAAGAATCTTCCTTCAATGCGGGAGACCTGGGTTTGATCCTTGGGTTGGGAAGATCCCCTGGAGAAGGGAATGGCTACCCACTCCAGTATTCTTGCCTGGAGAATCCCATGGACAGAGGAGCCTGGAGGGCTACAGTCCATGGGGTCATAGAGAGTTGGACATGACTGAGTGACAAACACAACACAATACCATGACATTTAAAGATGCAACCTGAAATGAGGCGAATATGTTCTGCTTTGTCGACGTTTTGGGATTCCAGGCTTACCCTGCTATGTGTTAATGAGAATGGAAGGCATGGCCCACAGTCCTCACACTTGAGATGCTGGGGCCTGAAAGGGGAACGAGGGGGCCAGCCCATACATCGGCCTCAGAAGACTGTAGGGTTCAATGTTTCTCATCTAGACCTTTGCAAACGGCTTTCACATGTCTCTAGTCAATTCCTCTTTCCATTCACTCCTTTCTGCCACCCAAGTTATCTTTCTATAACACGTCATTCCCCAAGCTCAAAATTTTCAAATTCCCTGATGCTAGTTAAAAGGTTCCCAAAGCCTACAGTAAAATTCAAATGTTGGGCCTGGCATTCAGGACTCTTGTGATTTGTCCAGCCTTACTTCCCTCACTCTCTGTGTTCTGGGCATCACCCTGGACTATTCTTAATTCTCTAACACATTGGTAACCTTCCTTTTTTTCTCAAGCTGTTTGCTACCCGGAATTCCATTACTGCCCACGCCTTCCCCTTTAAAACCCTCCTCTTGGAAAAATAAATAAATAAATAAAACCCTCCTCTTGGAAGCCTATCCCAGCTCTAGTCAATACTGACAGCAGCCTCCTCGGGATTCTCAGTAAGCACTGGACAGGGTATAATCTGGCTAGGTCCAGTTAATGCATGTAGATAGGCCTTCCCTATCTACCTAGATTGAGCCCTAGATTGAGGGCTCCTTCAAGGTCAGGCCTGGCTCTGGTTCATGTTTAGTATGAGGTACAAGGTATGCCAAATACTGGCATCAGCACAGCCTCAAGGGCAGCAGGTCAAGGGATTTTATTGCAGGCCCTAACCAACGTGTGGCTGGGCTCTAGTCCCTGGTATCTAGACTTCAGGCATGGGCCTGAGTATATGTGAATATGTGAAGACCAAGACCCCCTTCCATCATCCTAGTGGATCTTCATCATCACTTTCATTCTCTCTTCTGGTCAAAACAGACAAAGTTAATGAAGTAACGTTTTTTGCCAAAAGCCCTGTGGCAAAACCAGGACACCTCCAAAGAACCCACACGCGAGCAAACAGCAGCCAAAACCAGAAGCAAAGATCAGTCTTCTTCCACTGTTCTTGCTTCTGAGACTGATTCAGTTCCAAAAGCTCTAAGCTGGGAGAACAAGTTACAAACTTTAAAAAACACACTGAATACTATGAGTGGGACCTTCTTCCTGACTACAAGCAACTGTCCGGGGTCAGTGCTGGGGTGGAGAGAAACTGGATGAATTGGTAGAATTAAATCTCTTTCTTACTGGTTTACGATGTGTTTGGGTTACCTATAATGTGGGTCCATGTCCCACACTGTTGTTGAAACACTTTAATATCATGGAAGATTTACCCTAAAATAAAATGGAAAAAGGTTCAAATGCAGAAATTCAAACTGGCCGACACTGCCATAACCAGAATAATCTTTTGAACACAAACTGATTTTGTTCCTCTCTTTTACAATTCTTCACTGGTTTCCAATGGCCCGTGGAATATAAAGTCCAAATCCCTTTGCAGGTATTTCAGCCCTTCACATCAGCCACTGTTGCTCAGTTAGTTCAGCCTCGTGATATGTGAATCCCCACCCATTGTACATTCCAGGCTCTTTCTTGATTGAGGCTCTTTCCACACCTGCCTCCATGGGGTGCACACATACTGACTTCTGCCTGGAATGACTGTCCTTGGCTTGTTCCTTGAATGGGCTTCTAGTCTTCCTTCAGCTGTCAGCTGCAGTCCCTTCTCCTCCTGACTGAGCTCCTCTTCTCCCTAGGGCCCACAGCACTTTGCACTGGTCTCCATGGAGGAGGCGATGGTCATATACTTTATCACTGGTTACTTGTCTTATCTCCAAGGAAACTGTAAATTCCTTAAGGGAGAGATGGAATCTCCATATCTGAGTCCCTAGCAATGAGCAGGTGTTTTCTATACAGTTTTCTACACAGTTGAATGAAAGCTGCC